AACTCTAAATTTCATCGCTACAGAACAAGACAAGTTGTACATCGTTGGTTGGCTGAGAGGCGCATTTGTTTTAGGAACGTATGCATTAAAAACAATCCCCATCGTCACCAATGTGTTAATGAGTTCTACCGGACAAGTAGTACGGTCGAGAAATAATCCATCGTGAGAAAACAACGCTGTTGGCTTTATGGCTTATCGTCCTATTATTATTGCAAGAGAGTATTGTTCGGTATTGAACAGCCATATAAAACAAACACTGATCTCTTAGACGGATTAGTCAAACGAAGAAGCTTGGAAAATCATGTAAAAGCCTAGAAAGTGTAGGATAGGATTAGCCAAGAAGAAAGTCGCATTTATTTGCTTCAAGACATTAGACTTTTGAATCCACTCAAACAGCCATATCATATGAATGTGTCGTTTTCTTGTTCAGCAATCGCGAGGTTTTTAAACAGCATACATTTACTTGCATAAAAACACAATACAATACAACGCTAGCTGACGTTTCGGCAGTATCGCCTTCTTCAGAGCCGCTTTTTCGTGACTTCCAATGAGGAAGTTTAGAACAGCTGATTATACTCGCATGTGGTTGACGACTCATTCATATTCCAATGCCGAGGTTAAGAGAAAGTCGATCCTAGGAGCCATATCATAGCTCCAAGAAATCAGAGTAGAAAAGTGGGAAACTTATACCAAACGCATAATGTGACATTAAGATCGTAATATGTATGCGTTCACTATCACGTAGACAAACGAGATTCAGTGGAATCAACGAATAAAAGAAGTTCAGGTATTTACTGTTGTTCTAGTGGGGATTATGACTGGTGGTGTTATCACACTATATAAAACCTATATTTCAGAACGTGCTGTCTAAAGTACTATCACATACCATTACGGTTAGAAAGTTAATTCCAAAATTTCAGCAATGATGTAATGATTCAGAAGCGATACACTTCTAAGAAAAATCAACGGATTAAAACAAAGGAATCAATGCCTAGGACACCTGTCGCTTTGATTCGGCAACACATCACACACCCACACGTGAGACGAAGTGACGAAAAGGAGCGTGTGAGAGACCAGGCGAAAAGTTGTTGCAACATGTGCAGGCAGAAACGAGCTTTCCGAAAATGCGTAGGATATCGAATTATAGCTCAGTCACATTTAAAGATTACGTTACCTATAACTCATTTTGAAGGGGCGAATGTGGCGCAGTGGTCCGAGGCGTCCTGCGACACACACAAGACTAAGCAAGGGCCTCAGTGGTGTAGTGGGTAACACATGGGCCCCGGTAAAGGTAATCGCGTGTCAAATCTGACCTTGAGTTCACGTTTTGCGAATATATCAATATCGTAGCGCTTGCATTTCACTTTGTAGTATACAACAAAAAAAAGAGACGAAGTAGGGAATATAATGAATTGTAAATACCAGAGGGAAATAAGCACAAAGATTCCCACTACTGATTAAAAACTTCAATAGAAACAAATTTTTTAAAGTGTGGAAAAATATCTTTAAAAGTAGAAGAAAGATAACACCAGTCTAATATAGTCTTCAAGACTCGAATGTGTAAGCTCCATGACAACAATGACAGCTTTGTACTAGAGAGGTATATCGTACTTGTATTGACAACTTATCAGCTCCTTTCATTTTAAATTAGCTTCCTTCCATTTTCTTTCAATCTCTTTTTCCCACTCTCTCATTTCTCGTCCTTCCCTCTTTAGATCTCTTCCCATTAGCTTTCTCCGTCCCTAGCTCAATGGGCACTCCAGTCGTAAATTTTACAACTTCTTTCCACAGATCTGTGCTCTCTTCAGACAATGCCCCTCACTTTTTTCACAAACTAGCATATGTTTCAATATGATTGACTATTCACTTTCTTCTCAATGGTCAACTATAATGACAACGATGATGGTCAATTTGGTAACTAATGGAACAAAATCCACTCCATTCAAGGCACGTAACTAGCCAAAGAGAAAAGGAGATAGTTGCATATTGCGATCTTTAAAAAATAAGCTTCGTCATGAAACAAAGCGTCTCACCAAGATTCTCAAAAGCGTTGGTCATCGCGCTAGTCTTGCTCAGAACGTTAATTCATTTTCTGCACCACTGAAAGCAAAGCGCTCTGAAAAACTGGAATATTTTAATACTGATGACGTCTGTAAACTAACGAAAACAGGTACAGTAGAGACATCAACAAAGATATGCGAGACGGTCACTGAATGCGAATCAATGCACGAAAATTACACAGCTGATCGATTTTTGTCGAGCCAATAGAGCGAAGAACACTAGACCGAGTTGCACGTAGTTACGCCTACGCTTAGTAAGGTCAGTGGATTGCAAATATAGCACGATAACTTCACCTCACGCATCGGAAGATATTTTGAAAGAAAAAGTCAGGTTTTATTTGCAGATTATAACACAGAAGCCTGATAAATAAGAGCAGAAAGGAAAAATTAGGGTATAAATCCGGAAAAATGAACATGGTTGTCGTCGACGTGAACACCACAACAAATCGATTGTTGCGAACGGATAAAATACTTCATGGAAATGGCACCAAATCCACCTCTCTCACAAATCTCGGGAAAAAGTCGCCTGTCGCAATAACATCTTCACTCCAACAGCTTCCATTTTCTGTATAACGGTTTATTATTAATAAAGTTTCTACATGAATGCAGTTTTAAAAGATGCAAGGGGACATAGTGAGTAACTTGTTTTCGGCGAGTCACTTCAAATTATCCTCAGAAATAACACCAACAGAGAAGAAATAGGAAGCAAACGATACAATTATTATAAGGACAAAAAGATAACCTACTGAGGAGAAGAAAATTCGAACGAGAAAATGAAGAAGTAAAGAAAATGAGAGATAAAGAAGCAGTTTATTATGCGAATGGAAATCCATATGTTAATCTTATCTGCTGAGGTTATGAAAGTGTTTGGCTGAGTAGACTGCATGTTAATTTAACCTTTCCAGGCTCTAGAGAAGGTGAAACCCCCAAAACGTCAGCTATGGCGAACAAATACTATAAGAACAACCTCGAGTTTGCTCATCAAGAAAAACAGTAAATGCCTGATCAATGCCGAAGTTAACAGAAAGTCATACCGGAATGAATTAATCAAATTAGTGAAATATTTAGACAAATACACAAAAGTGTACAAAAATGCACTGGGTACGGAGAAGTTCGTAATAAATCTTAGACCAGATGTTAACAATATATTCAAATCCGTAGATAATCCAAGGCCACGAATTGGAATCACATGGTCTCAGGAACAGCTTTAGCGTAAGGCGAAACGACAATAGTGTTCTTTTGAGTTCAGGCAACAGTACTAAAAAAACACAGTAGTCGATTATGAAGGATATAGTACGATGGACCACATCTACGCGATAACGAGACTCATTGAAGTATCGCGAGAGCACAAAAGACCGCTCTGTCTCACTTTCATCGAATTAAAGGCCTCTGATTCAATTGAGATAGAAGCAGTCATAGAAGCCCCTGATAATCAAGGAGGCCCTACTCAGTACATAAAGGTTCTGTTCTGAGCTGTACAAAAATTTTACGACAACGATATCAACACCGACGTCAAAAAAGGGCTTAGGCCAGACGATACTACCTCGCTAAAATTATTCACCGCCACTCTCGAGAACGTCATGCGAACATTGGAATGGGATCATATGGGAGTGAAAATCGGAGGTAGGTAATTACACCATCTTTGCTTTGTTGATGAAATCGTCCTTATAACATCAAACATTAGCCAGGCAGAACGAATGGTTGCCGACTTTGATAAAGCCTTTGGAAAGGTTGGTCTTCGACTAAATATCACAAAAACGACGCTCATGAGTAACGGATAGGCTTCCTGTGCCCCATTCACGCTCAATGGAACGAATATCTCCGAATGCTCCAGTTATGTCTACCTAGGTCCGAAAACCAACATGATGAACGACTTAGCTCCAGACTTGAGCAGAAGGAAACGAACGGCTTGGGGAGCTTTCAAGAGCATCGAGGATACAGTGAAGAGAACAAAGAACACTCGACTCCGTGTCCACCTTTTCGACTCAACGGTACTTCTTGCGTTAACGTGTTCGTCAGAAACCTGGTCGNNNTGCGTAAGAAGGATGAATGATCACTCAGCGTTCTTGAAAGCGCAGTCGAAAGGACGATGCTAGGAGTAACCCGTTTCACAAGCAAGGGAAGGGATCCCAAGCTCCGACCTACGTCAATGATGGAAAATCAAAGATGCCGTTCTGTACACCAAGCAGTCGAAGATAAAGTGGGCCGGACACGTAATGCGTATGAATGACAACCGATGGACAGGAGCCGTTGGTGGCTGGATTCCTTGGAATATTAAACGCACTGCGGGAAGACCACCGACCCGATGGTTACAGTTCTTCACGAAAACCTAGAAGAAAGATATTATGCTTAACGAGTCCCTAGAGCGACCAGAAGCCACTGGGCTACTCTTGCACACGACAGGAAAAAAGGAAGATTTACCGGCGCCCACTCGAGTCACTCGACGATCAACGGGACTACAGGTGATACAGGTGAATACGTCGATATATCGTATAATAAAGAACTCAAGTCTATTTCCAAATACTCTGCTACTTGATGGTTTCTTAGGGAAAGCTGGTCCTTCTTCACCACCAGGTGTGCAAACTACTCACACTGATAAATGAGATCAGAATTGGATACATTAGAAATAGGCAGATTTGATGTACACCTTCCGGAGAAACTTTACCCAGAGCTGCTGTCTGGATCACAATGAGTTGTTGAAATCGAGCGTATTTTAATCCTAAATAGAGTAAAAATAATATTAATAACAGGAATTATCTGGCAGCCTAGCTAATTTGACGACTTTATGGAAATAAAAGCTAGACACTGATATAAGAAACGATTATTCTCTGCTAAAATTTGACCCTTACAACTTGATATAGATAAAATATCCAATTTTCTTGCAAAGTCTTTAAGATGATTTGTATGTGGGCAAGAATAACTTCAATAACAGTAGGTTTCCTACTTCAGAGAGGAAGTCAGCGGCGGCGGATATGCCAAAGGTGTAACAGTGCCCAGAACGGCTAACGAAGCCATCGACGCCAGATGACCATACCAACGATCACCATAGCCTTCCTTGAAAATACATATTCTAAAACAGAATAGGATTGAACAAAATTTAGTGACCATAATCATTTCACCTCAACTTTTCACCACCATAATTCTTAGAGTGATAATCACCACATGAATCTCGTCATTTTGACTTCATTGCAGAATTACATGTTGAATCGTTAAAACCAAAACCATTAAGACACATTAAGAAGGAGAGCACAAAACAGTGCGTGAACACAAATTTTTGCAAAATATAGAGCAAGTTTAACCTGATCTAAAAAGATCTCTAACATCAACAAAAGGTTATCACAACTGTTTTCTGTGTAAAGAATTAAAGATATTAGTTTCAGCAAGAATTTGAAAAAACCTAATACAACCGAACTAAAAAAAGTTGCATACAGATAGAATTAGAGTTCCACTCTGTCGTCATCGCTTAAGAGATCCCCACAGACAAGTGAATGAAATGAAATGCTAAAACCAATGCGCAAAAGGAAGGTGTTGTTTTCAACACAAGCGAGATTTTGTTTTCTAAGTATCTCAATATCTTTTATAATGAACAACTCAGTTCAATGTAAAACGAAAGAGTCAAGTCAACGGAAAGTCATTAAGAAGGGATAAAAATACTACAGGGAGTATCACGCCTGGTTATTTATTCATTCACAACTCTCACAGCTCATTGAACGTATTACCCAAAATATTCCTAAGAGCTTTTTGCATTAACGTTGCATAAATTGCTTTATGATCACTACTTATTTTTCGAAAACTTTTCTTTTCACACAATTTTACTACGGCATGGAAGGATCCCACAGCATCCACTTTTTCAAATGGTTTGCTGGCTCATATAGGATCTAGCCCCAGTATATACTCGCGCTGTAGGAAAAAGCGGCAACATTCCTCAAAAGCTCTACTATCAGAAATCCACTTAATGAACGCGTCAGGTATCTCAATGAGTAGGGAGGAAAGCTTAACATGTAGTAACAGTTCGAGTACTACGTTATTTTGCTGTCCTTGCCCACTATGACCATATATGAAAGACGCATTTAGATGAAAATACCTCCCCTAAACACGGATCTAATGCCACTAACGTTTTCCGAACAACTGCCCGGTTTAACTTTAAGTGGTATTTCTTCGTATTTTTGTTGAGCAAACGCGAGGTGTTATTATTCTTTATTCACGAATAAGCTGACGTTTCGGCGGATTTCGCCTTCCTCAGAGCCGCTTTCTATGAGGTTTACACTAAGCATGTCGCATAGATACCAACCGCACAGAAATCACATGGAAGCATAATGTGCACACTCTCTACATGACATTTTCAAACGTACCCATTGCGAAGCGGTAGGAATTCTTATCGGCTAGTTGTTACTCTTCAAATGGTCCAACCTAAACGGTTTTTATTAAAAAAAAAACTATAGTTCTGCCGCTACTAAAGATCCATTTGATTAACAGCGACTTATTCACGAAGGAGCAAATGTTTTCGAAAATTTGAGAACGTAAAGACCCGCTATTACTACTCATACTGAACGAGGTCTTCTGAAATATAGTTGGCACTCTCAATATCTAGCCGGAATGCGAAGCTCTGACCTTCGAAATGTGTCACACCTTCGAGACCCAGGAGAATATACATCGACAGTGAAACATAGATGGACCGACCACATAATGAAAAAAATAGACGATAGATGGACAAAAAGAACTGTAGAAAGGAACCCACACGAATACAAGCGTTCCCTATAACGGCATCCTACACGTTGTGCGGACGTGTTCGTAACGAGAGTTAATCAGCTGCTCTCGCAGCTGCAGTTATTTCACAGTATGAGACTCGCACGCGCCACTATGCTCGAATAAAATCACCACCATGGACGATGATTGCGAGGGAAAGAAACGACTAGCAAATGTGCTGGAGTCCGCACAACTCGTGAAAGCCGACCGTCCAAGCGCCCAAGCATGTGTAGCAAAGGTTCATTAAGTCACAATGTGGTATGGATGTCATGCTATAGTGCACAACACCAACACTAGCTGTCCGTTTAGGCTAGTTTTTGGAGTACCGTGTACCTCACGTTCACGGATCTCCCTCAATGATGGGCAATCACGTGAAAAATCGACTATAAATGATAGAAAACAAACCGGCGTAAATAATTCTTCTAATCGATCAGTTGTTAAGGCGGGTGTTTAGTTACCAACATAACATATGCGGTCTTCATCATCACCCATCTGAGTTGAAGTAATTGGAATGATACACGAGAAAGTTTAGAAAAATAGTAAATGTAATATGTAAAGATGTTGAGATCGGACACCTACCACAATCTTAAAGATGGATAGGTCTAAATATAACTTTTTATTAAAGAAAACTTATGACGCATGTTTTAGAATAAACGATGACAACCTAATAAGGCTTCCAAGTGGTACAACATAAATCAAACTGAAGACTCGATACATATAAATTATACATATATGTATATATATATATATATATACATATATGGTCCTAATTGAAAAGACAAGCACTGACACACGCTACAGTACACATTTTAAAATAAATTCCCACACTTGGAGTCTTAAAAACACGATGAAGTTATGTACAGGCAAAACCAAAGCTCTTAACCAGAGTGTGGTGGCCACCAACATTGAAATAGACATTCAGAACGGCGTGAGCTACACACCTTTTAAACCATTGCTTAGAACGATAAGAGGCATATGTAACTCACTCCCTTTATAGATCTTTCCTCTGAGACATAAAATCTTCCTGAGATATATTCTTGAATCAAGGAGGGTTTAAAAAGAGCACTCGTTATACAACAGATGTTGCACAAGACATCAAGCAAGGAAAGCTATTTCCATAGATCCTAATTAAAAAGAATTTACTCCCTTTCATTGATAACCTAATACGAGGTTGTTGCCAATAGTTAATCGGCTAAAGTTTCGGCGTCTTCGTCTTCCTCGAAGGCGATGGTCCGAAACGATGTCCACAGTCGTTCATCTTCTCGATTTGGTGTCTTTGCTGTCGTATAGAGCCAGATCTTCTTTAGTTGAGCATCTCTCGAATAAAGCATACTCACCTGGCGGTGCTGTTATATAGATTGTTGTTACTGATAGACGTGATTGTCCGGTAATAATAACTTGCTCTTTCTGGGCAATCAATCCTGCAGAAGTCAGTTTCATTACTAACTAGCCTCATTCGAGATGCTGTGCTAAAGGTCCGGCTCGATACGAAGACGAGGACAGGACATCGAGAAGACCAACGAGTGTGGACATCGACTCGGATCATCGGCTCTGAGGAAGACGAAGATGTCGAAACGTCAGCCGAATGTTGGTAACAAAATCGTGTCAGCTCAACAATGAAACAAGGTACATGGATTATTTATACCGAGGTTAAATGAAAGTCAGTTTACAACGATTTAACAGAGAGTTTATTGGAATAATTGCTATTTCTTTTCACGAGCCAATCGAATACCCCTTGTTTGTTATTTAGACCAATATGGAGACTTATTAGTTTGAATCTTGAAAAGTGGATTACTTATGCTTACACATGAGCGACATATGATTTTGTGTAGCAAATAAGCTAACAACGAAACAAACCCAAGCAAAGGATGGAGACTAGAGGTAATACTACAAACCCAAATTTCAAAAGACACAGTGAACATTAAAATGAGAACGGGAAGGCCACGAAAAGCAACTTTGTTCAGAGAAAAGTGTGCCCAGTTCATTTCACTTCGTATCTTAGGGAATTCTTTAGTTCCTGGAAATTCAAAACGATATAGCATTGAAAAAAATATGCAATTAATAAGTTAATCACTGCTAAAAAACTTACCTTTTCTAGCACCTGCAAATCGGTCAACCAAGCATCCTGCCATGACAATGCAGCAACTCTATTCAGCTTCTCATAAATGCTATTCAACTGAACTCGAAATTCGTGCACTTCGCTTACAGTCAAGCGGCTCATCGGCATGTTAGTCAAGTAAGACAAATCTGCTTTCTACAAAAACTACTCATCCGCTTTTAACAAAAGAGCAACAATAAGGCCATACACCACAAGGAATTAGCCTAGAAAAATCGTTAGATCTCGAACAGCTAACCTCGCCCTTCCACTTTTTTACGGGATCGTCTTCGAAACCCATTTCTCGCATTTCATTCTGGAGTTCATGTAAGTGGCGTTCATGGGGTCTAATGTTTCCGGAGATAACCAGTTCAATAAACTGCAGCTGTAAAAAGCAGAAAGTCATAGTATTCAAAAACTTACTAATAACCAGAACAATGATAGAGGTTTTATAACATAACAAAATTCCAAGACAACTTGTTTATGTAGAGAAAAAGACCACTGCTACGCTAACAAAAACCAGAACAATGACCACGATTCGGTAATGATACTCGAATATACAAAGAATTCTCAATGACATATCGACATTCATATCGTACATCATCCACAGGATCACCTACGTTAGCATGATATTTTCAAGATGTGAAATAAGCAAGTGAATAGCAACCGCATAGCAGTTGAAACTAATCAAAAATCGTACACTAACTTTCTACAATCACACAAACATCACTTTTGCGATGAACTCATCACAATGTCTAATTTCGCGTGGCGCTCGATTACGACTACACCTAATTTTTCGCCGCGCACGGTGTATACGCTGAAGCCAAACCATCGGACCAGTTTACCCCCAAAAATCGTCCAACCCATTTTTCTTGTTTTTTGCCTATAATTCATTTTTCAAACGCATTTTTGCCCATTTATGACGATTCTAATGTACTATGTATCTACAGTGCTATAGTGTATCCTTTGATGGTTCTGGAATGTACCCAACTCTTGATCGTGATCGAAGCAAAAGCTCATCCACCATTCAGTCTCTCAAGCAATAAAACAATCTTAGTGGACAGCGTGCAGAGTATATCCAACGAATATAACGGACGACAGTTAAGAAAACCCTTTCGGTCATCCTTTTCGCGTAGGATGACCGTGCGCAACGTCCTCCATTAGTCTGAGATTTTCTAATTCTAAAAGTAAGATGACACACTGTGTACTTAAAGTATATGCATTTTGCGGCCTACACCTCGAATTCTGCATTAGTACTACCGGATCATGGAGCTGTGTATCCATGTTTTCTAGCCTGGCCGATGACGCCACCCATTCACCGCCGTCTATGACACCGTAGAACTGTTCCTCGGAACATGCGACAGTAGAGGAGTCGGCGGCGTTGGCGTTCTCGTCAACACGAGTTTGTCCATGAACATCGATCCATTCGAGCAACTTACAGCCCGAATCGGACATTTGCGGTTAAAAAGATGTGGATCAACACAGGCTTTCACAATCTTCGCCGTTTACGCGCCAACATCAAGCTATGACGAAGAAGAAATCGAAGCGTTCTATATGGACTTGGAGAAGTTCTACAGAGAAGATTATACATAATTCAAGGTCATTCTTGCAGATTTCAATGCCAAAATTGGACCAAGAAGAACGCCCTGAAGAACTCCACATTGGGACCCACGGATTAGAATGGAACTAACAGAGTGAGCCGCCATCTGAGTTTATTATGACCACCAAGACAATCCATGGTAACTCGCAATTCCAGAAGCCCCACTCTCAACGCTGGAAGTGGCAGTCTCGCAATGGAGAGTACCATAACGAAATAGACCACATCATAGTAAATAGAAGGTTTTGCCTAACCAATGTCGCTGTTGTCCCAAAATTCCACACAGGATCAGACCATTTTCTCCTTCAAGTAAGATTCTATTTCTCAAGGAAAGGAGAAAAAGCCGATAAATTCCAAAACCGAAGTCCCAGAACTACCATAAACTGGGATTTATGTATTTCATTAGGTGGCCGTTGGGAAAATGCCGTTGTCGATAGCATCGACGAAGAATACGATCAGCTCATTCAACACCTTCACGCTAGCACTATGAAAGCGCAGAGTTCGAAAGTCACCAGGAGACGTCTGTCTCCAGAAACACTGGAGCTGATACGCCACAGTGGAATCGCACGAGCTGCAGGTAACCGCGAAATGACGTCTGAACTTGCAAAACAATGCTGACAGGCGATAAAAGAAGATCTTAGACAGAAGAGCAGCAGTAATGGTCGAAACTGCAGAGACCTGGAAAAGTATTCGCAAAGCCCATTGAAGCTTCGCCAATTACAAGACCAAGATTATGGCACTCTGATGCCTAGACGGAACGGTTACAGCGTCCAGAAAGGCAATGGCGGAAATCATTCACAAACACTACTCATCTCTTCGATAACCACGTCCACCCCCCGTCATATGAAATAAAGCAGGATGGATATGTTGTACCACAGGTTCTCCCTTCCGAAACCCGACATGCCATTTCATCGGTAAACAGTCGATCGGGAACAGATCCCGACAGGATAAGATCAGGACACCTGAAGAACATTCCGCCAATCCTCGTAAACACACTGGCTCGGCTCCTCACACGTTATCTGTCTGAATGCAAGGTCCCTACTCAGTGGAAGACCAGCAAGACCGTGTTACCGTTCAAGAAAGGTGATCAACACGATATAGGCAACTATCGTCCAATCTGCTTGCTGCCTGTCGTCTACAAACTTTTCACTCGAGTCGTCCTAAACAGGATTGACAGAATACTGGACGAAGGACAACCGTGTGAGCAAGCAGGATTTTCAAAAGGATTTAGTACTATGGACTACATCCACACAATAACAAAACTCATTGAAGTATCGCGAGAGTACAAAAGACCGCTCTGTCTCATTTTCATCTATTAACAGGTCTTTGATTCAATTGAGAAAGAAGCAGTAATGGAAGCCCTAGACAGTCAGTGAGTCTCTACTCAGTATATAAAATTCTTCGCGAGCTGTATAAGAATTTCACAACCAAGATATCACCATTCTACAACAATATTAACCTCGACGTCAAAAGAGGGGTTAAGCAAGGCTATACTATCTGGCCAAAATTATTCACCGCCATTCTCGAGAAGGTCAAGCGAACATTGGAATGGGATAATATAGGAGTGAAAATCGGTCACCCTTACAACACCAAACATTAACCAAGCAAAACGTATGCTCGCCTACGTTGATAAAGCCTCTGGAAAGATTGGTCTCCGACTAAACCTCACGAAAACGATGTTCATGAGGAACAGATTGGTTTTGTATGCCCCATTCACACTCAACGGAACGAATATCTCCGAGTGCTTCAGTAATGTCTATCTAGGTCGGGAAATCAACATGATGAACGACTTAGCTCCAGACTTTAGCAGAAGGAAACGAGCGGCTTGGGGAGCTTTCAAGTGCATCGACGATGTAGTGAAGAGAACAAAGAACAGCCGACTCCGTGCCCACCTTTTGGACTCAACGGGCCTTCCTACCCTAACGTATGCATCAGAAACCTGGTCGATGCGTAAGCAGGATGAAAGGTCACTCAGCGTTATTGAATGCGCAGTCGAAAGGACGATGGTAGGAGTATTCCGCATCAAAAAAGCAAGGGATGGGATCCGAAGCTCCGACCTGCGTCAACGACGAAAAATCAAAGATGCCGTTCTGTACGCCAAACTGTCAAAGATAAGGTGGGCCGGACACGTAATGCGAATGAATGACAACCGATTGACAAGAGCCGTTATTGACTGGATTCCTCGCGATGTCAAACGTACTGTAGGAAGACCACCGACCCGATGGTCAGAGTTCTTCATAAAGAGCCTTGAAGAAATATATGATGCTCGACGAATCGCCGGAGCGAGTAGAACCCAGTAGGCTACTGTTGCGCGCGAGAAGGAAGAATGGAAAATTTGCTAACTACCGCTCAAGTCACTCGACGATCAACGGGACTACAGGTAATACAGGTTTATGTAGATAATTGAAGTGTATGAATTTCCATTCTTGACCAATAAAATTAATCAAAAACGGTAAACGACTTCTCGTCCCTCAACTAATTTCTGTTATCGAAAAATTATCCTAATTCATCATCTGCTATTAGTTAATGACGGGTAAGTTCCACCGAGTTCGTAAACTAAATGAAATTAGGTATCGCCTCATGGAATAAAAAATAAAGTTTATTTTTTCGAAAGGATGAAGCGTTGGTCTTAACCAATCCCTGAACGATGCGACACGAACTCGACCGGATTCGCAGTATAAGCATTTGAATGCATATTTGGTCTACAGAATGAAACTGTGGTGGTCTACCGATGTATTGCGTCAGCGCTGCTAGACAAGTAGCGTACCGGCTTGCGAACTTCGAATAGACGTAAGAGTTCGTAGCCGATGTGCAGAATCGAACCAAAAACCACATGTGAATTGCAGGGCACTCCAATCACTGCGCTAGACGCGACCTTTTTAATTCGGCAGGCAAATAATATTGATGGTCAGGCGTTATTTATTATCATTTTCAAAGTTTTTGGATGAAGAAATCTAAAGAAATAGTGAGAACTTGCATTTCTTAGCAAATAATCTATTAAAACATGTCTAATGACGTGTCGTCTACTGGTTTCATTTGTGACAGTACATAGTGGCCGATGTGGCCTTTAAAAACGTGTTTTTGTTGCCGACGGTTCATTTCGGTGCAAGGAACCGTTTCCCTACGTTTTTTGCAATTAAGCGATGGCTTAACCAACTCAGACGTTGTAGCGAGTGTGAATAGGTTTTGCACGTAGAAAAACATAAAGAGTTTTTTCTTAGAGTTTATTAATTGGTGATTTAACTCGCCACTGACTGTTATTTAAATTTTAAATGTTACAATAAATCATAATTATGGAATAGACGAGTACGAAAAAATCAAGAATAGACTCAATATAAACTACAGGATCTTTTTAATGCTGACACTAAAATGGCTGTTTGATGGACCATAGCAATGTGTACTAAATAATGGCATACATGTCGTTCATATCTACAGAACGATAAAGCAAGGTCTCGTTTAGAATACTGTTATGTTCACGACCCCAAAAATTCCTCTAATTATCAGGAAAAAACATCGCCCACAGTCTAAACACCAATAGGTCCGTAGCAAACCAAAACTGCGCGTCCTCCCACTGATCACGAGAAATTAGGTGCCGCCGTCAGCGTGTTGGTAGCCGCGAGCAAACACTTCGGTAAAAACAGAACTCAAAACTACCTACCTGATTTTCAACGCGTCTTCGTTGGGAATCGAGCATTTCCTTTTGATACTCTTTTCTCTCATTGTATTTCCTTTGTCGGACTTGAAAATGCTCATGAATAATGTCAGAGACAGATGTATAGTGTTTTAGATGCCCTGACGAATCGAACAGCACCTATAAATTGGCCGACATAGTTGATTCTCATGCCAAATGATATCTTTTCTAAAATGGTAGTCAACCACATTTTAAAGAACTGCGAAGAAGAGATGAATAAAACTGTGTAATATCCAATAGGTGAACATAGAGTTCACATCCATATTAAGTGGAGGTACAAAGGCATACGTGACTTCTAAGAGGGATTGAACTTTTC